AGTGCATTTTGCAAAAGCAAGGCATCAGCTTATATACAATAGATTATTGCAAAAGAACGTTTTCTTTGTTTATACATGTGGTTACATTTCCAGGGAGGTAAGCAGGTGTGTTGAGTAAAGATTGTTCTCTAATAGCCTGGTGACAGCCTATAGTTGCTATTTCTTGTGGACGCAGTTTGGCACCAGTTGCAGTTTTGTTTTGTTTTTTTTTTTAAAGATTTATTTTTATTGTTTTTTCATTGGAAAGGCGGATATACAGAGAGGAGAGACAGAGAGGAAGATCTTCCGTCCGATGATTCACTCCCCAAGTGAGCGCAACGGGCCGATACTATGCCGATCCGAAGCCAGGAGCCTCTTCCGGGTCTCCCACGCGGGTGCAGGTTCCCAAAGCTTTGGGCCGTCCTCGACTGCCTTCCCGGGCCACAGGCAGGGAGCTGGAAGGGAAGCGGGGCTGCCGGGATTAGAACCGGCGCCCATATGGTATCCCGGGCGTGCAAGGCGAGGACCTTTAACCACTTGCGCCACCGCGCCGGGGCCCAGTTGCAGTTTTAACCATTAAGTAGTTAGCCCTCATTGTGTTTTGTGCCTTAAACTGGTTTTAATATTAACTTGCCTATATTTCTAGTTTTTCTTCCTGTATGGCTTTTTAAGCTATAGATTTTTACTATAATCTTCTTTTTAGGAATTCTCAAAAATAGTCCTAAATAGGTTCATTAAAGCTAGTAACTTGATAGTTTTTATCTCAGACTGCTTGCTACCCTTGTCCAGTCTCCTGTCAGAAGGCTTCATAGAACTATAAAGGAACATTGAGCCTTTGCCGCACATAAATAGTATTATTCCAGTCATAAAGATAAGAGCAAAGAGAGTACAGCTAGGAACGTCAAGACCACTAGAGATGCAGCAAATTCCAGGAGGCAGCCTTCCTGGAATCAAGATATTGATCTCCATCTCTTAGAGCAAGGAGACTGGGCTCATACCAATCTCATCTCGGGGTCACTCTCAAAGGAATGGTGCCTTGGTTTTCCGCTTCTACTCAGGATTAGAGAAGGAAACCACAGGGTCACCCTTTACTTTCTGGCCCAGGTGGCAGAGCTCACAGCCCGTTGTGAATAAGTTTTTTCTTTCTGCCCTTGGAGTGATTCATGTGAAGCCCCTCCCTTTCCACCATTACTTCAGTCTTTCTTCTCTTGGAGTCCCCTCCTGCTGTTGGGACAGCAGCCTCTTCCCTTTGCTTAAATAAAGCCTGCTTTGCAAACTAGAGTGATCCGAGGATGAAACTTCTTTCCTGTGAGACAAGAAATGAGATTGTGTTGTGCCGGCTTCCAGGCAGCTGGATGGATCCACAGTCCCCCAGGCAGTGATAATCCCAAGCTGGGAAGCAGGTGAGCTGCGAACAAGCAGGGCTTCCTGGACCACAGCACAGCTGGCAGGTGAGCTGTGAATGGGCGGGGCTTCTTGGGCCTCAGCACAGCCGGCACCACAGGTGGGCGGCAAGCGTGGGAAGGTGGGGTGGGGTCTCAGCTCTTCAGGTTGCAGTTGGTCGCCAACAGCTCAGCGGGCACTAGCCCGTAGCAGGCCAGTCCGCATGCAGCTCTGCAGGCCTCTCGTCTCTTGCAGCTCAACAGCCGGGGACGACCTGTGGCCGTCACTGTCCACTGCTTGGAGCAATGGCAAGTCTCCACGGCTGCGGTCACGGTCATGGTCACTGCTGCTGCCTGCACCTTCGCTTCCTTCTCTGCCGCCATGACTTCTGCTGCTGCCACGTCTGCCACAGACCCCCCCCCCTTTGTAGTTGCCGCGGTTGTCATGGTCACAGTCACCACCGCAGCTGCTGTTGCTGCTGCTGCTACTGCGGGTGCTTCCCCGAAAAATCACAAGGAGTCAGAGGTGGACAGAAACGTTTATTCAGGGGTGCCCGAGGTCCGAAGAAAAGGAAGACTCCTAGCCTCCGAACTTTAGGGTTTTTATACAAAAATCAGCCAATCAGAGGGTTAGTTTTCAGTATGCTACATTTGTAGGGGACCTTTACACTATTGGTTAGTTCAAAAGGTAGGTGTGGGCTTTCTATAGGGATGATGTGACAGGTGTCACATAGGCAGGATAGTCCCCTCAGGGTCCCTGGGCAACTGCCCCTAAATTGCCAGGCCTGGTGTCACACAATCTCTTAGCAGAACAAGCAAAGCAGAAGTTACAGAAGCAGGAATACAGCAATTAGCAACGGGCAGGGGCAAATGGTAAGTGTTAGTTATTTAAGGTGTTGTGGGGCAGGGATTGGGAGGGATCCAGGGCAGGCCCCAGGGAATTGGTGCCTGCAGGTGAATGCCTGGGGATGATTGGTGAGTGGGTGGGGTTGGGCAAGGGGCTGGAAGATTGGGGGTGGGATTCTCAGGTGGAATGCCGGGTTACATCTGATTGGTGGTTGGCTAGACCAGTGCGAATTTCCTGAGCTGTGAGGAAGAGAAAATGGTGCCAGGTTCAGGGTAGGATATTCAAATAATTCCTTACATTCCTCCCTTTTGTTATATATAAAGGAAGAGGGGCATTGTTCTCTATGGCTTCTAGGAGCTGTTTTGTCTTGGCAGTGGTTGCAGCCTGGTGGGAGGAATGAGAGATGGAGGTATGCTTCTAGTCCTGCAAAAGAAACTGGTTAATGCTTTGATTAGAAAAACATTTTACATTTCAGTGGATGGGAATGGAGGAAGGGTTATTAAGAGTCCTTTTGAAAAGCTGGCTTGAGTTCATTTTCTCTTAGCCAGGCCTTCTTGTACTGGATTCTTCATTACTCCTGAATGGTCAATGCAGACAGGGGAGCTTCACCAGGAACCAGAGGCCCTGACTGCCTATCATCCTATCTAACTCCTCACATTTCCAAACAGAGGAGTGAACAGGGATAAGGGGGCGATGACCGCTCTAGCTTCTTCGAGCTGAAAGGGGGCGTTGTTGAGTAACTGCAACAGTAGGGGGTTCTAGAGGTTCCTGGTAGAAGGCAGAAGTCATCAGATGTCTGAAGTACTGCTTGGCACTTGAAGGCTTCTCTTTGTTGAAGTCTAGATAACAAAATATATCATAATTGTAATCTTTCCCAGCCTAGCAGGTCATGAGTTCAGTTAGAAACCCAGTTGGAATACTTGGGCTTTCAACTTAGATATAAAAGAATTGTCAGGGTTCAACCTTTGTCAGAGTAAACATTACATTAGATTAAAACGATGGACTAGATTTAGATCAGTTTAACTTAACTATGTCAAGTCCCAAATTTTGAAACATACCCAATGAATGCAATGGAACAGATGAAACCTTTTGGGTTGTATGAAATTGTTATCTGAAATAATGAAAGGATTAGTTTGTGGCATCAGAATATAAACCTGTCATAGGACAGGTAAATGCAAGCGTACTTCTTGACTAACCTTAAGAATTATTGCATTTGAACTTTGAAAATACTGTAGTCACTTTGAATCTAGCTAGGAAACAGGCAAGTGCTAGATTTTCTAAAAAAATTATACTTTACCAATCGTCGCAAGCCCTAAGAGTTTCAGGAAAACATCTAGCCTAGAACATAAAGCACAGCACTCAAAACATTTTGTTACAAGACCTGCTAGTCACACTGTAGATGGCACAAGATTTAACTAGTTTTCATTTACAATAACCCAGCAGTTTATAGTCTTCCAACACGATTTTACAGAGGCAAGCAATTTACTAACTTATAGGCTAACAAGCTATACACTGGCAATTGAAGAACACAAGAATCTTAAGTAGATGAGCTAAGAAGACTTGAAATCTGCCTCAGGGCAGTGAGGGTATCCTACTTCAGTGAAGTCTAGCAAAAACTGAAGAGGGAGATGGCAAACATGTCTATCAGGAACCTTGTCGTTGATGCAGGCTGAACAGTTCCAGGTTAACTAATTTTTCTCTAGAAAAGCTTCTTTTCTGAGCTTCTAGATTAGTCTGTCACCTAAGCTAACTTGGGGCTCCTGAGAGACCCTGATGGTCATTGTAGGAGAGGGAATAAGCCCAGGCTAGCTAGGACAGAGGAAGCAGTGTCCAGACGGAACCTCTAGAACCCCCTACTGTTGCAGTTACTCAACAACGCCCCCTTTCAGCTCGAAGAAGCTAGAGCGGTCATCGCCCCCTTATCCCTGTTCACTCCTCTATTTGGAAATGTGAGGAGTTAGATAGGATGATAGGCAGTCAGGGCCTCTGGTTCCTGGTGAAGCTCCCCTGTCTGCATTGACCATTCAGGAGTAATGAAGAATCCAGTACAAGAAGGCCTGGCTAAGAGAAAATGAACTCAAGCCAGCTTTTCAAAAGGACTCTTAATAACCCTTCCTCCATTCCCATCCACTGAAATGTAAAATGTTTTTCTAATCAAAGCATTAACCAGTTTCTTTTGCAGGACTAGAAGCATACCTCCATCTCTCATTCCTCCCACCAGGCTGCAACCACTGCCAAGACAAAACAGCTCCTAGAAGCCATAGAGAACAATGCCCCTCTTCCTTTATATATAACAAAAGGGAGGAATGTAAGGAATTATTTGAATATCCTACCCTGAACCTGGCACCATTTTCTCTTCCTCACAGCTCAGGAAATTCGCACTGGTCTAGCCAACCACCAATCAGATGTAACCCGGCATTCCACCTGAGAATCCCACCCCCAATCTTCCAGCCCCTTGCCCAACCCCACCCACTCACCAATCATCCCCAGGCATTCACCTGCAGGCACCAATTCCCTGGGGCCTGCCCTGGATCCCTCCCAATCCCTGCCCCACAACACCTTGCAGACAAATTGGGCTCCAAGGTGTGGCTCTCTTGTCTCTCTGTCTCTCTGTCTCTCTCTCTTCCCCTCTTTTCTCCTTTAGGCCTCCCTTCTCCTCTTCCCCTTCCACTTTTCCCCCTTTTTCTGATATCCACCACCTCCACCCTGTTCCTGCCCCGCTGGCATAAATCTCCTAAGATACCTCGTTGTGTCTGGGGTTTTCAGCTCAGTGTAAAGAACCAGGTCGCGCATAATAATATCGTAATATCGTATGAACTAGAACTCTACCACCTTTTAAAATAACAGATTTTTGAACTGTATGTTCTTCAGTTGCTGCCAAGTTTCACGCCAAATTCCCTGCAACTTTTGTCCCAGGCTTTAGCACCAAAAGTGGGAGCTGCAATGGGTGTGGGCCAGTCAGGCAAGGCTGCTGTGCAGTTTCTTGAGAGCTTTCCTTTGCAATCACTCTTCTCCTCACATTTACTCTCTTTTTGCACTTGTGCAATAAATTGGTCTTCCAGGCTAAAGAGAGAGGAGAGAGAGACAGAGGGAGAGAGAGTGTGAAAGAAAAATGCATGCTTAGATCAAACCTTACAGCATTTCTCTCATTCTCCCAAATCCAGCCCTTCTACAGCAGGGTCTCTGGGTCAGTTACCAGGGAAACTGACTCCTTCGGTAGGTTTGGTGCACATCCCTACTCAGCCTGATGAGGTTGCAGAAGACAGATGCTCCCCATGTTTCCCACGATAGGACATAGGAGTTCAGGTTCCCTAACGAGGGGGTTGGAGATGGTTGTGTAGGCAGACAGCTTACTATGAGCACAGCCTGGAGCTTCCCAGGGGTTCCCAGGAGTTCCCACATCTTAACAAGTGCTGAATATCCCACAAGAGGAAGCTTTGTGTCACATGTAACTTTATAACTGCAACCCACCTGTGGATTGCCAGCCCAGATGGGAAGGACCTTTTTGTAAAAAAGCTAGGCAACAGCCCCAGGTCTCCAGGGCAGAAGTTCTTCCCCAAGCCTGTCCACTTTCCTACTCCAGGGAGTGGACTTTAGCTGACAACAAGCCTTGTTTGTTCATTTTAGCCTCGATGACTCCTGTAGTTTTTTGCTGCCAGGGTATCGAGAACCTGGCCACATCCTGCTAGGACAGGAATGTAGCATGACCTGAAGCCGTAGGAGCTGGGTTGGCAAAGGCCTACTCTCCTGCTCACCCTGCCATGCACTGGTGATGACATCGCAGTGACACTGACTCATCATGTGGAGCTGCTATGGATGCTGGCTGCCCCACCTGCCCCATGGGACACACATCCCACGCCCCACTCAGCCTTTATTAAACGGGACTCCTGGCTAACACAGGACTGAACTGGTGAAGCCTTCTTCACACTAATATGCTAGGAGCTAGTTGCTGAAACCAAGCTTGGGAAAGGGTCTCTCTGCCTTTGCCTACACCAGCCTTGCCTGTGACAGCGAGAACTTCTCAGAACTCAGAGGCTGAGCTTGCATATGAATGAATGCTGTTGAGTGACATGTGGTCTGATTTTCCTTGTCTCATTTCTAGACTGAACAGGTGTAGTCCAGGAAATAGGGGGACGCTCAGTGATGTCCCTCTTCTATCACCCTCTTTGCTTCCCTCCTGGTGTAGCTTTCAGTGTACCACGCAGAAGAGATCCCTTTACATACCAGTTAGGATGCAGCAGACAAGGAGAAGGAAGAGAAGGGCCCAGGTGCTGCCATTGATGGTCATGGCCATGTCCTTGGATTGGACTGCTTTTGGGGTCATGGTTGATGGTGCTGAAATGGAAGCAGAAAACTGGAAACCCCTGTCCAGACCCCAAGCCCCAGGAGTTGCCTCCCCTGCACACAGCTGGCACTCTCTTATGTGCTGGGCCGAGGGTAGGAGGGAGGCAGATGGGTCCTGTCCTCAGGGAAACATGTGCCAGAAAGGGAAGCTGGGCTGACCAGGCTGACTGTCCTTCCTGCTGTAGCCAAGAGGAGCAGAGCCTGGGAATGGTGGTGGGGAGGGGCCACAGGAGCTGATGTTGTGGGAATCTGAAGGATCTCAGAGAAACAGCAGCTGAGATGGGGGAAAGGGAAGAGTGTTACAGAATGTCGGGAAACAAAGTGCAGCCACAGTATGGGGGCGGGCAGGAAAGGCAGTGGGAGGGACTGACATGCACATGAACACAGGCCTACACCCTCATGTACACACACATGCACATGCCACAATAACACACACAAAAACACTCACAGATACACACTCACAGTATCTGCACTTTCATGCACACACACGCAGAGCACACTCATGCAGCACACAGCACAACCGCACTCACAGCACACACATCCCAGCCCTAGTGAATACCTCTCCCTCCCAGCCCTCCTCCTAGTTACCTGTGGTCCCCAGCATTTCCTTCCTGGATGGCAAGAAACCCAAAAGCCACTTCTGACAGTCTCCTGCTGAGACTTTCTGCAACAACGTGGTCATGTGCTCATCATTCTCCAAGGCTGTCTTCAGCCATGTGGCTCCAGGATGAAGCTCTGTCCACGTTCTGTTGTCTGAGCTGAAGAGCAGGTTTATCTGTCCATTGAAGCCAAACTGCCAGGACATGTGTGTTTTCCCACTGGCTTCGTTTTCACAGCGCATCATGCCCTGCAGGGTGGGGACATCTGTCCCCATTGGGAAGAGATGGGCCAACATCAGTCTTGACAAATACTTCGTCCCACCTGCTATCCACTGCTTCTGTCCCTCTGGTGTTTCCTGGCATGCTCTGTGCTTCTTACCCTGCCCTTATCCCTGGCTAGCAAAAATGTTGCTTTGATCTATACACAATAAAATACCCATGTTTATAGGCTATGCCCTCCTCAGGGTGCCTTTTCACACTTACCGCTGGTTGGGAAGATCTCTGGCTTAGGGTCCAGCAGCTTGTTCCGAAGTTCCTCAGTAACATCTTTCAGCATTTCAATCTGTGGCTCCCAGGTCTTTGTGCTGTTGAGCTTCCTTCCCAGGGTTCCCACAGGGTTCACCTCACCACCACAGCAAAAGGAGAGAAACACCATCTGATCCATTTGCCCTTGAATTTCACGCCATGGCTGTTGAGGCTTGGGCTGAGCAGTGATGCTGAAGTTATAGCTCAGACTGTGAGTGTCTGTGAAAGAATAACACAGGTGAGTGTCACCCAGGCACAGGCTCTGTGCCAGCAGGAACATCCTTCTCAAGGGTAAGGGAACTTGAGAGCACTTTCCTGGGCTCACCTCTGCATCTCCTTCTGCCTCTGGAGGATCTTACTCCCCATATTGCCTCACCTCCACTCTGCCCACCAACCCGTGCATGAGCCTGCTAGGGCAGTGCCAGGCGTGGATGGCAGAAAATCTGCTCACATGGATGGCAGGGTGATGGGACAGTGCACGGGGGCTTCCTTGAGGGTGCTGATCACCATGGGACAGGGTTGGGACAGCACAACAGGCAACAGGGCTGATGAGCCCGCACAACATGCACTACAAAACTCACAACTTCCATGGATATGGAATAGGGTGGGAACACAAAACATCCCAGGGTGGAGATAAAATGAAGATTCAGGAAAAGATCCAGTGCTCTCTGTGCCTCCGGAAGGTGTGGAAGAAGCCTGTTCACCAATGAACAGAGAGGAGCTCTTCCATCATCAGAGGCACAGTCACAGCTCCTGCTCAAGCCTGGGGTTGGGCACTGTGGAAGATGACCCCAACGTGATAATGGAGTGAAAAATCTCAATACAAGGGATGCTAAGTACAGGTGCAGAACTGGGAAGACATCATGATTGCATTTCTGGGAAAGGCACCATGTCTGCCCGGCCCTGTACACAAAGATCTGAGCCTGTGAAATTCAGAGCACGGGGATCCTACAGGCCAGCCAGATGTGCAGACAACCTGGATAGTGCCTGATCTGAATAACAACAAGGTCCACAAAGAGAAAGCACAGGCGGTCAGGAGGCTGATGCAGCCACTCCAACAAGAATGTTGGAATCTCTGTCCCATTTCCAATTTTGGCCACCCCTCTGAGCCAGACCCCCTAAGCAGAAAAACTAGGCTCTTTTCCAAATGACCCATGGCCCACAGCAAGTGCATAGCTTCCGGTGGCCTTTCCCAGAGGACATAAGACCATCTGTTGGGGGAGCTACATGGCAAAAAGGAAAGTGCAGAGAAGTGGGTGTCTGAGGCAGTGCTCAAGCCTTGGCTTGGGCTGCCCGTATCCCACATCAGAGTGCCTGGGTTGAGACCAGGCTCTGCTACTCATTCTAGCTTTCTGGGAGGCAGCAGGTAGCCATCCATGTGGAAAACCCTACAATACTCCAGGCTCTTGGCTTGGGCCTGCTCCTACCCTGGCCACTGTTGGCCTCTCTCTCTCCCTCTTCTTCCCTCACTCCCCCTGCTTTCCCTCTCCCCTGCCTTTCTCCCTTTCCCTGCCCTCCCTGGGCCTCTCTCATCTTGTTCTTGCTCTGTCTGTCTCCTTGCCCTTGTCTCCATCTCCTTATAACTCTCCCTCCTCTCAGTCTCCCTCTCACTCCTCTCTCCCTCCCTCCTCTTCCCTCACTCTCCTGCTTTCCCTCTCCCCTGCCTTTCTCCCTCTACCTGCCCTCCCCCTTCCTCCCCTCCTCATCCCTTCCCTATTACCAGCTCAGGGCCCTTCTTCCCAACTTTCCCTCCTCTTCCCCTTCCTCTCCTTCTCCCACCTTCTCACTCTCCCCCGTCTGACTCCTTTCCTTTCACCTCCCCCCTTCACCTCTCCTCTCCCTCTAATCTCTCTCCTCTCCCACTCCCTGCTAAGCATCTCTCACCCACCTGCTCTGACCACTGCTCCAGCTGCATGCTCTGCCCCAGGACCTAGGCTGCTCAGGCGCCACCCTGACCTTGGAACAAGACCTGTGGTCCTTGCTGCTTTCACTCCCAGACACTCTGAAGAGAGCTCCCTTCTTCTCCTTTCTGGCTCCCCTGGCTTGCAAAGCTACTGAGCTGGACCCAGAGGGGGCTGAAGACAGGGTTGCACACACAACCAAGGTGAAAATTCCCTTGGGTCATATACTTACCTGCATGTGCCGCAAGGGGAAGAGAGAGCAGAACGCAAAGAAGGAGCTTGATGAATTCCCGAAGCACCATGACTGAGCAGTGCAAGAAGCCGTCCCCTCTTCGCGGCACAAGGAGGAAGAGTGGCTGATCAGCTGCACACCCAAGACTTCTGCAGCTTCCAGGACGGCCCGAGGAAATGCTGCTCTGGAAGGAATCTGCTGTCACAGGAATATTGCATGGAGCTGCAGGTTCATTCTGGTGACGAATATGAGTCTGCTTCCCTTTCCCTGCTCTCCATGGGCCTCTCTCAGAGGCTTCCTGCCCCCTTCCCAAAAGTGCACAAGCTAGTGCAGGTCAGGCTCTCCCTGGCCCCCGCAGGTGGTTACAAGCAACAGGACCTTCCTGCACCCCAACACCCTGGACTCAACTCTGCAGACGACAGGCTCCCGTCTACCTTGCAGTCATCCTGTAGGACAGGAGCAGGGCTCAGTTCACATTCCCTAGTCCAGGAGCAGGGCTGTTGGGGTCAGAAGCCACAGTACCCCTTGGACTCTCCTCACAGGACCCGAGGAAGAGACCATCCACATCACACAGCCTGGGGAAGCAGCAGAAAATGACCCAAAGCCTTGGGATCCTATATGCTTACAGGAGACCCGGAAGCTTCTGGCTCCTGATTTAGACTCAACTCAGCTCCAGAGATTGCTGCACATGGGGAGTGAACCAGCAGACAGATGTTTCTCTTTGTCCCTCATTCTTTTATGGGTCTTCCTTTCCAATAAAAGTGGATGCTTCTTTGTTTTATTGTTATTTTTTTTTAAAAAAGCTGAATTAATGATGCAACTGGGTGTGGTGCAGTGGCCTAGGAACACAAGTCCCTGCCTTGCATGCGCCAGGATAACATATGGGCACCGGATCTAATCCTGACAACCCTACTTCTCATTCAGCTCCCTGATTGTGGAGGACGGCCCAAAGCCTTGGGACCCCATGCCCCTGTGGGAGACCTGGAGGAAGTTCCTGGCTCCTGGCTTCAGATCAGCGCAGCACAGGCTGTTGCAGCCACTTGGGGAGTGAGTCATCAGAGGGAAGCTTTTCCTCTCTGTCTCTCCTCCTGTCTGAATTTGCAATAAAAATAAATAAATAAACATTTAAGGAAAACAAATAGTGAGACTCATAATAAGTGAATAACCGTAGTGTTATTTTCCTTGTAACTTGATGCTGTCCTCAGTATTTCCTCCAGAGGAGTGTGGATTTAGGGATCACGGTGTAGAGAAGGAAAGCCAGACACAGTGGTTCACACTCTTAGTCAGCATTAAAAAAAAAAAAAAATGCTTTAAAACATGGTGTGTGTTGGGGGGTGCTGGCTGCTCACTGTCAGAATTGGCTAATCCTGCTTATGGCCTGGGAAAGTAATGGAAGATGCCTCGAAATTTATATCCTCCTTTTCACTCTGTAGATTCTGCCACAGAGTGAGCCCATCCCCCTTCCAGCGTTGAGGCGGGGAGCCCATCTCGGGTCCTGCGGGGAGGGTGCGGGGAAGGTGTGGGGAGGCTGCGGGGAGCCCGTCCTGCTCCAGCGGGGAACGGCGGTAAGCCCGTGCCGAGTCGTGGTAACTGTGCCCTGTCGCGGTAAGCCTGTGCCTTTTCCGGCGGAAAGCAGCGGTAAGCTCGTGCCGAGTCGCGGTAACTCTGTGCCCTGTTGCGGTAAGTGCGTGCCGCGTCCGGTGCAAAGCAGCCGTAAGCCCCTGCCGTGTCTGGCGGGGAGCAGCGGTAAGCCCTTGCCCTGTCGCGGTAAACCCTTGCCCTGTCGCGGTAAGCCCCTGCCCTGTCGCGGTAAGCCCTTGCCCTGTTGCGCCCTGCTGTCGGTAAACCCGTGCTGTGTCGGCTAGGCACGTAAGCCCTGCCTGTCGCGGTAAGCCCTGTCGCGGTAACCGTGCGTGTCCGTAGCCGTGCCGTGTCGGGCTAGGAGCAGCGGTAAGCCCGTGCCGACCGGTAAACTGTCCGTGTCCCGGTAAGCCTGTGCGTGTCCCGGGAAGCGACGGGGAGCCGCTCACCAGTTGGGCGGGAAAGTGGCAGGGAGCGGCGTGGAGCCCCCCAGTGCACTGTGGAGTTGTAGCTTAAAATAGAAAACAAACAAACAAACAAAAACCCTCCAAAAACTAAACTGCCCTTCTTAAAACTTTGAGCCCTTCCCAGCTCATTCTGCCTGTAAGTCTCATCCCAGCACTTGACCCCTCCGCTTGCACTGATTCCAGCTCCTGCCCAACTCACCAGCGCAGACAGGAGGGCAGCCGTAGATCGGGGTCTTCCAGGCACAACCGCTCACTCCTAGCTGCTCTCGGCCAACACCGCTGCTGCTCGCCGTGCGGAGCCGCTTCCGAGTCGCAGGCAGCTGCAGGGAGGCCGACGGCGAACTGGACAGGACGGGGAATCCGGCAGGCAGGCAGAGAGCAGAAGTGAACTCTCTGGTGCGCTGCCCGGTGATATTTATATGTCGGGCTTACGGTGGTGAGAAGTGATACTTCCTTTCTAGACATGCTAACCGCAAACACAACCGCGGGCACGATTAACCACAAATACGATTTGCCTCTCGAGATCCGTTTCGGATTACTAACCCCATAGGAAATATTGGCCAGAGTCAAGAGCCCGAGAGAACAGGGGCCGGCTCACTACAATACCATTTCTGGCATCCATGTCGGTAGAGTAAACCGAAGGGAGCCTAGACCTGAGCAAGGAGCCCAGGCAGACCGGGCACGGCTCACCACGGAGACATCCTGTCTCACTATACTCACACGGAAAGAGGCATGCCTAGGTGCCTGCAACCCGTGTAAACCCGGGCACGGCTCACAACAAATACGAATTTTCGGACCGGTATCGGTATACTCAAGGAAAGCGAGCCCAAAGCCCGGCGCGCTGGCAGACCAGGGAACGGCTCACCATGGAGCTTCCCGGATCATTATACTCACCCGAAGGGAGCATTGGCTGGAGTCCGGTGCCAGGGTAGACCCTGGAAAGACTCACCACGGAGACTTCCTCTCTAGGCATACTCACTCGGAAGGGAGCATGCGCTGCTGCTCGCTGGCCGGGCAGAACTGGGACAGTTCACAACAAATACGATTTTTCAGATCGGTATCGGTATACTCAAGGAAAGCGAGCCCAAAGCCCGGAGCCTGGCAGACCTGGGAACGGCTCACCATGGAGCTTCCCGGATCATTATACTCACCTCAAGGAAGCATTGGCTGGAGAAAGGAGCCTGGATATATTCGCGCGAGGCTCAGCACGGAGACTTCATTTTTCGCATCTCAGCAGAAGGGTGCATCCACCAGTGCCCGCTACCCGGGCTGACCCGGGCACAGCTCACCACAGAGACTTCCTATCTCTGCATACTCACTAGAAAGGGTCATGCCTAGGTGCCTGCAACCCGTGTAAACCCGGGCACGGCTCACAACAAATACGATTTTTCAGATCGGTATCGGTATACTCGGATCGTTATACTCACTCAGAAGTGAGCATTGGCTGGAGAAAGGAGTCTGTGCAGATTCGCGCAGGGCTCACCTCCGAGACTTCCTCTCTGGGCATTCTCACTCTGAACGGAGCAGGCGCCGGTGCTCGCAGCCCGGACAACACCGGGGCCGGCTCACAACAAATACGATTTTTAGGATCGGTATCGATATACTCAAGGAAAGCGAGCCCAAAGCCCGGCGCCCTGGCAGACTGGGCACGGCTCACCACGGAGACTTCCTCTCTCAGCATACTCACTCGGAAGGGAGCTTGCGCAGAGCCCGCAGCCCGGGCAGCACCGGCGCCGGCTCACAACAAATACGATTTTTCGGATCGGTATCGGTATAGTCAACGGAAGGAAGCATTCACCGGAGAATGAAGGCCAGGCAGACCGGGCAAGGTTCACCACAGAGACCTCCTCTGTCTGCATACTCACTTGGAAAGGGGCATGCCTAGGTGCCTGCAACCCGTGTAAACCCGGGCACGGCTCACAACAAATACGATTTTTCGGATCGGTATCGGTATAGTCAACGGAAGGAAGCATTTACCGGAGCATGGAGCCCAGGCCAACCGGGCATGGCTCACCACGGAGACTTCCTCTCTCGGCATACTCACTCGAAAGGGAGCATGCGCCGGTGCCCGCAGCCCTGGCAGCACCGGGGCCGGCTCACAACAAATACGATTTTTCGGATCGGTATCGGTATAGTCCACGGAAAACGAACCCAAAACCCGACGCCCTGGCAGACCAGGCGCGGCTCACCACAGGGACTTCGTCTCTCGGCATACTCACTAGAAAGGGTCATGCCTAGGTGCCTGCAACCCGTGTAAACCCGGGCACGACTCACAACAAATACGATTTTTCAGATCGGTATCGGTATACTCAAGGAAAGCGAGCCCAAAGCCCGGCGCCCTGGCAGACCTGGGAACGGCTCACCATGGAGCTTCCCGGATCATTATATTCACCCCAAGGAAGCATTGGCTGGAGAAAGGAGCCTGGATATATTCCAGCGCGGCTCAGCACGGAGACTTCATTTTTGGCATACTGAGCAGAGTGTTACATGCACCAGTGCCCTCCACCCGGGCTAATCCGGGCGCGGCTCACCACAGAGACTTCCTCTCTCAGCATACTCACTCGGAAGGGAGCATGCGCCGGTGCCCGCAGCTCTGGCAGCACCGGGGCCGGCTCACAACAAATACGATTTTTCGGATCGGTATCGGTATAGTCAACGGGAGGAAGCTTTGACCGGAACATGGAGCCCAGGCAGACCGGGAATGGCTCACCACCAAGACTTCCTCTCTCAGCATACTCACTCGGAAGGGAGCTTGCGCAGAGCCCGCAACACGGGCAGCACCGGGGCCGGCTCACAAAAAATACGATTTTTAGGATCGGTATCGGTATAGTCAACGGAAGGAAGCATTGACCAGAGAATGAAGGCCAGGCAGACCGGGCAAGGTTCACCACTCACTTGGAAAGGGGCATGCCTAGGTGCCTGCAACCCGTGTAAACCCGGGCACGGCTCACAACAAATGCGAATTTTCGGATCGGTATCGGTACATCCAAGGAAAGCGAGCACAAAGCCCGGCGCCCTGGCAGACCGGCACGGCTCACCACGGAGACTTCCTCTCTCGGCATACTCACTCGGAAGGGAGCAGGCGCCGGGGCCCGCAGCCTAGACAGCAGCGGAGCCGGCTCACAACAAATATGATTTTTCGGATCTGTATCGGTATAGTCCACGGAAAACGAACCCAAAACCCGACGCCCTTGCAGACCAGGCGCGGCTCACCACAGGGACTGCCTCTCTCTGCATACTCACTAGAAAGGGGCATGCCTAGGTGCCTGCATCCCGTGTAAACCCGGGCACGACTCACAACAAATACGATTTTTCGGATCGGTATCGGTATACTCGGATCGGTATCGGTATACTCGGATCGTTATACTCACTCAGAAGTGAGCATTGGGTGGAGAAAGGAGTCCGTGCAGATTCGGGCAGGGCTCACCTCCGAGACTTCCTCTCTGGGCATTCTCACTGGGAAGGGAGCATGCGCCGGTGCTCGCAGCCCGGACAACAGCAGGGCGGCTCACAACAAATACGATTTTTCGGATCGGTATCGGTATACTCAAGGAAAGCGAACCCAAAGCCCGGCGCCCTGGCAGACCGGGCACGGCTCACCACGGAGACTTCCTCTCTCGGCATACTCACTCGGAAGGGAGCATGCGCCGGGGCCCGCAGCCCTGGCAGCACCGGGGCCGGCTCACAACAAATACGATTTTTAGGATCGGTATCGGTATAGTCCACGGAAAACGAACCCAAAACCCGACGCCCTTGCAGACCAGGCGCGGCTCACCACAGGGACTGCCTCTCTCTGCATACTCACTAGAAAGGGGCATGCCTAGGTGCCTGCAACCCGTGTAAACCCGGGCACGACTCACAACAAATACGATTTTTCAGATCGGTATCGGTATACTCAAGGAAAGCGAGCCCAAAGCCCGGCGCCCTGGCAGACCTGGGAACGGCTCACCATGGAGCTTCCCGGATCATTATATTCACCCCAAGGAAGCATTGGCTGGAGAAAGGAGCCTGGATATATTCGAGCGCGGCTCAGCACGGAGACTTCATTTTTGGCATACTGAGCAGAGTGTTACATGCACCAGTGCCCTCCACCCGGGCTAATCCGGGCGCGGCTCACCACAGAGACTTCCTCTCTCAGCATACTCACTCGGAAGGGAGCATGCGCCGGTGCCCGCAGCTCTGGCAGCACCGGGGCCGGCTCACAACAAATACGATTTTTAGGATCGGTATCGGTATAGTCCACGGAAAACGAACCCAAAACCCGACGCCCTTGCAGACCAGGCGCGGCTCACCACAGGGACTTCCTCTCTCGGCATACTCACTAGAAAGGGTCATGCCTAGGTGCCTGCAACCCGTGTAAACCCGGGCACGGCTCACAACAAATGCGATTTTTCGAATTGGTATCGGTATACTCGGATCGGTATCGGTATACTCGGATCGTTATACTCACTCAGAAGTGAGCATTGGGTGGAGAAAGGAGTCTGTGCAGATTCGCGCAGGGCTCACCTCCGAGACCTCCTCACTTGGCATACTCACTCGGAAGGGAGCAGGCGCAGGTGCTCGGAGCCCGGACAACACCGGGGCCGGCTCACAACAAATACGATTTTTCGGATCGGTATCGGTATAGTCAACGGGAGGAAGCTTGACCCGAACCTGGAGCCCTGGCAGACCGGCACGGCTCACCACCAAGACTTCCTCTCTCAGCATACTCACTCGGAAGGGAGCTTGCGCAGGAGCCCGCAACACGGGCAGCACCGGGGCCGGCTCACAACAAATACGATTTTTCGGATCGGTATCGGTATAGTCAACGGAAGGAAGCATTGACCGAGAATGAAGGCCAGGCAGACCGGGCAAGGTTCACCACAGAGACCTCCTCTGTCTGCATACTCACTTGGAAAGGGGCATGCCTAGGTGCCTGCAACCCGTGTAAACCCGGGCACGGCTCACAACAAATACGATTTTTCAGATCGGTATCGGTACATCGAAGGAAAGCGAGCCCAAAGCCCGGCGCCCTGGCAGACCGGGCACGGCTCACCACGGAGACTTCCTCTCTCGGCATACTCACTCGGAAGGGAGCATGCGCCGGGGCCCGCAGCCCTGGCAGCACCGGGGCCGGCTCACAACAAATACGATTTTTAGGATCGGTATCGGTATAGTCCACGGAAAACGAACCCAAAACCCGACGCCCTTGCAGACCAGGCGCGGCTCACCACAGGGACTGCCTCTCTCGGCATACTCACTAGAAAGGGGCATGCCTAGGTGCCTGCAACCCGTGTAAACCCGGGCACGACTCACAACAAATACGATTTTTCGGATCGGTATCGGTATACTCGGATCGGTATCGGTATACTCGGATCGTTATACTCACTCAGAAGTGAGCATTGGGTGGAGAAAGGAGTCTGTGCAGATTCGCGCAGGGCTCACCTCCGAGACTTCCTCTCTGGGCATTCTCACTGGGAAGGGAGCATGCGCCTGTGCTCGCAGCCCGGACAACACCAGGGCGGCTCACAACAAATACGATTTTTCGGATCGGTATCGGTATACTCAAGGAAAGCGAACCCAAAGCCCGGCGCCCTGGCAGACCGGGCACGGCTCACCACGGAGACTTCCTCTCTCGGCATACTCACTCGGAAGGGAGCATGCGCCGGTGCCCGCAGCCCTGGCAGCACCGGGGCCGGCTCACAACAAATACGATTTTTCGGATCGGTATCGGTATACTCAAAGAAAGCGAACCCAAAGCCCGGCGCCCTGGCAGACCGGCACGGCTCACCACGGAGACTTCCTCTCTCGGCATACTCACTCGGAAGGGAGCATGCGCCGGGGCCCGCAGCCCTGGCAGCACCGGGGCCGGCTCACAACAAATACGATTTTTCAGATCGGTATCGGTATAGTCCACGGAAAACGAACCCAAAACCCGACGCCCTTGCAGACCAGGCGCGGCTCACCACAGGGACTGCCTCTCTCTGCATACTCACTAGAAAGGGGCATGCCTAGGTGCCTGCAACCCGTGTAAACCCGGGCACGACTCACAACAAATACGATTTTTCAGATCGGTATCGGTATACTCAAGGAAAGCGAGCCCAAAGCCCGGCGCCCTGGCAGACCTGGGAACGGCTCACCATGGAGCTTCCCGGATCATTATATTCACCCCAAGGAAGCATTGGCTGGAGAAAGGAGCCTGGATATATTCGCGCGCGGCTCAGCACGGAGACTTCATTTTTGGCATACGGAGCAGAGTGTTACATGCACCAGTGCCCTCCACCCGGGCTAATCCGGGCGCGGCTCACCACAGAGACTTCCTCTCTCAGCATACTCACTCGGAAGGGAGCATGCGCCGGTGCCCGCAGCCCTGGCAGCACCGGGGCCGGCTCACAACAAATACGATTTTTCGGATCGGTATCGGTATAGTCCACGGAAAACGAACCCAAAACCCGACGCCCTTGCAGACCAGGCGCGGCTCACCACAGGGACTTCCTCTCTCGGCATACTCACTAGAAAGGGGCATGCCTAGGTGCCTGCAACCCGTGTAAACCCGGGCACGACTCACAACAAATACGATTTTTCTGATCGGTATCGGTATACTCGGATCGGTATCGGTATACTCGGATCGTTATACTCACTCAGAAGTGAGCATTGGGTGGAGAAAGGAGTCTGTGCAGATTCGCGCAGGGCTCACCTCCGAGACTTCCTCTCTGGGCATTCTCACTGGGAAGGGAGCATGCGCCTGTGCTCGCAGCCCGGACAACACCAGGGCGGCTCACAACAAATACGATTTTTCGGATCGGTATCGGTATACTCAAGGAAAGCGAACCCAAAGCCCGGCGCCCTGGCAGACCGGCACGGCTCACCACGGAGACTTCCTCTCTCGGCATACTCACTCGGAAGGGAGCATGCGCCGGGGCCCGCAGCCCTGGCAGCACCGGGGCCGGCTCACAACAAATACGATTTTTCGGATCGGTATCGGTATACTCGGATCGGTATCGGTATACTCGGATCGTTATACTCACTCAGAAGTGAGCATTGGGTGGAGAAAGGAGTCTGTGCAGATTCGCGCAGGGCTCACCTCCGAGACTTCCTCTCTAGGCATTCTCACTCCGAAGGGAGCATGCGCCGCTCCAGGCAGCCCGGGCAGAACTGGGACAGCTCACAACAAATACGATTTTTCGGATCGGTATCGGTATAGTCAACGGAAGGAAGCATTGACCGGAGTATGGAGCGCAGGTGGACCAGGCAAGGCTCACTACAGTGACTTCCTGTCTCTGTACAGTCACTCGGAAAGGGGCATGCCTAGGTGCCTGCAACCCGTGTAAACCCGGGCACGACTCACAACAAATATGATTTTTCGGATCGGTTTCTGTATAGTCAACGGAAGGAAGCATGACTGGATCATTGAGCCCAGGCAGACCGGGCTTGGCTCACCACAGAGACTTCCTCTCTGGACGTACTCACTGGGAAGGGAGCACACGCTGGTGTCCGCAGCCTGGGCAGATATGAGGACACTTCACAACAAATACGACTTCTCAGGTTGGTATCGGTATAGTCAACGGAAGGGGTAGTGGCCTGATCAAGGAGGCCAGGGAGAGCCGGGCATGGCTAACTATGGAAACTGTGTCTCTGCCTACTTACTCAGGGAGCAACCGCAGGAGCCTGGTGACAGGGTATACCTGGACAAGTGTCACCACAGAGATTTCCCATGCGGCATACTCACTGGGAAGGGAGCTTTGGGTGGAGAAAGGAGCCTGGGTGGACTCGCGCGGCTCACCACGGAGACTTCCTTTTTGGCATGCTCAGTAGACTGTTGCTTCCACCAGTGCCCTCCACCCGGGCTCACCAGGGCGCGGCTCACCACAGAGACTTCCTTTTTGGCATGCTCAGTAGACTGTTGCTTCCACCAGTGCCCTCCACCCGGGCTGACCAGGGCGCGGCTCACCACAGAGACTTCCTCTCTCGGCATAGTCACTTCGAAGGGAGCATGCGCCGGTGCCCGCTGCCCGGGCAGAACTGGGATGGCTCACAACAAATACTGTTTCTCAGATTGGTATTGGTATACTCAACGGAAGGGAGAGCAAAGTCCGGATCCCAGGCAGACCTGGGAACAGCTCACCATGGGGCTTCCTGGATCATTATACTCACCTGAAAGGGAGCATGCCTCTGAACCTGGACTTTGGGCAGGTCCGCGGATGACTCACTATGGAGACTTCCTTTTTGGGCACATTCACTCCGAAGGGAGCATTGGCTGGAGCACGGAGCCTGGGCAGACCCGGCAAGGTTCACAACGAAGATGATTTCCCAAATCGGTATGGTATACTCAACAGAAGCGAGCATTGACAGGTCAATGAGCCCAGGCTGACCCGGGCATGGCTAACCATGGAGACTGTGTCTCTCTGCATACTTACTCCCTGGGAAGGAAGCATCCTCAGGAGCCTGGTGATAGGGCAAACCCGGGCATGGCTCACCACGTAGACTTACCTCTCAGGCATACTTACCCCAAGGGCGCATGTTCAGGTCCCTGCAGCCTAGGCACACCCAGGGACAGCTTACATACTCACCCCATGGGAGCATGTTCCTGTGCTCGCAGCCTTGGAGGACCAAGGGACAGCTTACCATAAAGATGATTTCCAGTATAGGTATACTCACCCCGAAGGGAGCATTGGCCAGAGCCCGGTGCCAGTGCAGACCCAGGGATACCCTCAGCACAGATCATTTCTCCGATTGGTGTCTGTATACTCACCAGGAAGGGAGCATTCGCTGGAGACAGGTGCCAGGGTAGACCTGGGGACGGCTCACCATGGAGCTTCCCCGAGCATTATTCTCACCCTAAAAGAGAATGCGTCTGAGCCCGGACAGGGGCTGGCCCGTGGATGGCTCACCATGGAGACCTCTCTGCTAGGTATACTCACCCAAAGGAGGCATATGCTGGAGGCCTGAACCCGGAAGCTAGGCAAGCCCAGGGACAGCTCCACCACAGAGACTTCCCTGCTCCTTATATTCATGCTGAAGGGCACATTCCCTGAAGCCCGGGCATGCCCTCGGACGGCTCACCACGTGCACGAGGTGGCTGAAGTCATGGATCCATGCACGAAGAAGCCCTGTCCTGACACCCATCTGAGACCCATCTACAGTGGTAGGCCGCAGGAAGTTTCAATCTCCATGGCCATGGTTGCGCCCTTCCCCAATCGCATCCACCACTCAATGAGGGTGGTGGGTGTCACAGAGACTTCCCCCCTTGGTGTACTTACCCCAAGGGAGCAGCCTCTGGAACCCAGGCAGGCCCGGGGACAGCTCACCATATGCACGTGATGGCTGAAGTCTGTGGGCGTAGATGCCCAGTCCTCAGACCCACCTGCAGCCTGGTGGGTAGTTTTGTATTTTAATGATCTTTGAAAGGCTGATTAGGGCTCAAAGGGTCAAGGACTACAGGAAAGTTGGTAAGAACATGGTTTCCACATTCTCTTTTTTTCCTTCCTGTATCTGGGTGAAGGGGAGAGACAAAGGGAGAAGCCACACTCACCCTCCCACCCATCCCAGGATCCCCGATGTGGGGCACTGGGCACTGTTCAAGTGGTTTGATAGTCTCACTGTTCCAAACATGATGATTTTTCTTCAGAATCCACTGGCTGACATAGTCCACCTTAGAATATCCTTTTGCCAAGATTTTCACTGCCAACACATGGCTGGGGTAGTTGATTGATTTGGTCTGTCCATTGTCCTCTGTTGTAGTAGCAGGTGTCTTCTGCAGGTTCTGATGATCTGCCATATCCTCCATGTGCATCTGGATATGCTGTCCACTGCTATTTCTGAACCTCTGAGGAGGCTCAGCTTTGACACATGCACTCCATGGTCAGATCATGGAACTTGCACTTCTCTTCATGGTTGGGGTCTGGGATCAGCAGTTCAGTTGGAGGGATCCTCAAAGAAACTTCGTCTGAGGTGATCCTAGGCCTGATTCTTGTGTGTGCTTGCCAGTACAGGGTCCAGCAGTCTGTTGCCCCATTCAGCTTATGCATATGCTGGTGGTTGCAAATGCTGGATCAGTTCTGTTTGCAGCCCTGTCTTCCATGTGAACCAATGGGTGTTGTAGTCCTGCCTGATCCTGCCAGCACACACTCAGCCCTCACTCAAATTAGTGGGAGCTGCAGCCTAGTTGGAGTGACTTGCAGTAACCCCCACGAGGCCCGTCTCCTGTACTGGTTTCCGTGCTTGCCACTGGACAGCAGACTGGACTAGTCTGTCCCACATTCCATTCAGCTCTCATATATGCCAATGGTATTGAAGTTTGGCTCAACCCAGCCAGCCCCACTTTCCAGCCCACACCCCTGCTGATGGGTGCCACTCTCTGTCTAGCCACCACTGCCCCAGTCCTGGTTTTCATGTTCTCCAGTGGGAGTGGTAACTCAAGAGGGAAGTGCCTACTATTTCCCTGCTGGGCCCACTCCTGGATCATGCACTCTCCAGGTGGTTCTGCAGTTTAACTTGACAGAACTTGAAGGAAATGTGATATCCCTATAGGAAAGTGTATAGATCTTAAACAAGCTTGATTGATTTTCATCTTGATAAAACTAAAAATGGAACTAATTGCATCATTAGCTGTAAGGTTACAGTTGGTTACACAAGAACTCCAGTATTCTGACTTAATTTTCAATATTTGTTTTGTTTCTTTGTGATGTTTATATGAATGGAATCATGCAACAATATTCTTTTGTGTCTGGTATTTTCCTTCTGTCTCTAAAATAATACATAATCTTTGTGAGTCATAGATCTTATCAATGATAGCCATTCACATTTTGTGTAGTAGTTTTTCTTTTTTACCATTTTATTTATTATTTTTTTATTAGATTTTTGACAATCTTTACATAGTTAATTGGGGTAAAAAGGTTCAAGGGCTATAGGAAAGTGGGTAAGACTATTATTTCCATATTGTTTCCTTCATGTTTAAAGGGGGGATTAAGGGAGAAGGCCCACCCAATTTCCTACCATCCCCAGGTCCCGCATGTAGGGTATGCGCCGAGGTTCTTGCTCTAGTGGTTTTGATAGTTCACCAGTTATAAATAGCTGCCAGTCTTGCCACTTCAAGCACTATGAGGTCTTTGAAGAATCCACTGATTAACACAGTCCATCATAGAGTCTCCATTTGCCCTGTGTTTCGCTGCCAACATATAGCTGAGATGGTTGATTGACCTGTTCTGTCTTCTCTCTTTTCTTGGTTAGGGTTCTGAGTCCAGCATTTCGGTTGGGGAAATCTCCAAAGAAACTTTGTCTGAGGTGTTCTCAGATCAGATTCTTATATGTACTAGCAGGTACAGGGCTTGGCTCAGTCCATGGCCCTGATCAGCTGGTGGCTGCGATCACAGGGTTGATTCTGTTTTCAGCCCTGACTTCCACTGGAATCAATGGTTCTTGCAGTCCAGCCTGGTGCTGCCCAGCACATTCTTGGCCCTCGCATAAACAAGTGGGAGTGCAGCCTCGTTGGAGCGACCCACAATAATTCCCACCAGGCCCGCCCCCTACCCTGGTTTGCCAGTATGTGTAGCAGGCTAGTCCAGTCTGTCGCACATCCCATTCCATGGCCTGTTCTGGGCCGTTTCCTATCATGTTTCTTGTGCTTACCTGCAGGGTCTACCAGAGGAGTTGCCCAGGCTCCTCCATCAGAACTTCCAATGCCAGATTTTGCGCATACCACTGGGTCCAAGAGCCAGCACTACTCAGTTCACCTCCTGTGCTAGCAGGAACAGCGGCTTTTCCTGACTGGCCTTCAACCCAATCTGGTTCTTGCTCTTGGATGTTTCAGCCCAGCCATGGCTCGTCCATAACCACATATGGCTCACACATGGCTCAGTAGGG